CTTTGAGTGCTTTCTAATATCAGTTCCAATTACATGCATGTGCGCTTCATCTGTGATTGGTTGAAAAATTTACCTTAGTAGCTACACATCAGTTTAGCTGTGGAGCTCTCCAGAATGGCACTAGTATGGCATGGCGCTCTATATATGAACCTGCTTATTCAATTGCCCGTCAGTTCCTTCTTACTGCAAGTGATAGTTGTTGGAACTGTGATTCTCTTGCTTCTCAAGTGATCCATGTGTCCCTAGTGTTTCTGTAGATAGTTTTTCTTTTCTTTGTTAGTAATTAGCTGTTTACTGTAGTCTAGTTAGTCATAGTAGTGGGTATGTGGGGGCATAACCATGTGCCAGAGTTTCAAGCCATGCAGTTCCTGCGCTAAGCCTATGCCCACTGGTGACCCCTATGATCATGTCTTCGGTGTCTGGAGAAGACTCCCCAGTCAGACAAGTGCAGGATCTGCAAGCCATTCAAACCATGTACCGGAAGGAGCAAGATTTTAATCTCAACTCCTCATGGATTCAGCTCTTCAGCCCCAGCAAGACCTGGTGCTGAATGCATTGGTCTGCAGCACCGCTGTGGCATTCCCAGCATCAGTGCAGAAAAGGGACTCAGAACAATAGGCTCAGCACTACTGCTCCCAGGCACTGAAGCCTTCAGTGATCTCAGCACCATTTCCAGTCTCTGAGGTCTCAGAGGTGATGGTTAGCCACCCAGCCCCTTTACCAGCTGCCCCCTTGCAAACTCCAGAGGTTCCTGCCCCTGACCACAATAGCTGGATGAGCCAGAGCTGGCCCCTCCCATCCTCTTCCTCCCCCAATGAAGTGGTAGCCAGTACTTCTGTGGCAAGGCCTTCCCCCAATGGACTTAGCGTTTCAGGACTCACTCTGTAGGGTGGTGCAGAGTCTCAAATTGCAGAAGGAGAAGGTAGCAGAGCAGAAGGATCCACTGGCATCTGAAGGTCCCTTCAGCGTTGTGCTCCCACTGATCAAAATTATTCAAACCACTACCAAGACCATCTGGCAAGCCCCCTCCCTCAGTCTCTTCTAGCCAATTACATTGAACACAAGTACTTTGTTCCCTCATGGTGGAGGCAGTGAGTGAGAAGGAGAGGCCAGGGCACTGAGCATCTCCAAGTTTGAGGGATGCTAGGTGCCATGACTTATTTGGGCACAAGGTATACTCCATTGGGGCCTACTTCTCAAGATAGCCAATCAACTGGCAATTCTGACTAGATATTAATAACTCTTGGGCCTCCCTTTAGAAGTTAGAAAAGCTCTTATCCCAAGACTCCTGTGATCAGTTTGCGCTGCTCATCCAGGAGGGTACAGTGGTTACCCAGACCTCCATCTAGGTCCCATTGGTTGTGGTGGACTCAGCAGCCCAAGTCCTCTCCTCAAGCATTGCTGTGTACCATGACACGTGGCTCTAGCCATATGGTCTTTGCCAGAGGTCCAGCAAACCATCCCGGATCTCCCATTCAGTGGCATGGGTCTCTTTGTAGAGCAGACCAACTCCTGCTGCATAGCCTCATGGAAGCGCCGCAGGTCCGGCCCGGGTCCTCCACCGTCTGATCAGTTTCAGCAGCAGCTGACTTGGGGGCGCCTGGGGTTCTTAAGTTGAATCTATATGTAAGTCGGAACTGGCGTCCAGATTCAGCCGCTGTTGAAACTGATCAGTTTCAGCAGCGGCTGAATCTGGATGCCAGTTCCGACTTACATACAGATTCAACTTAAGAACAAACCTACAGTCTATCTTGTACGTAACCCGGGGACTGCCTGTATCTGTCACAATGGAGATCGTTTGATTTGTAGTAAAAGATGTATAGTACCAGTTCTCAGCCCTCCCTATTGGGCTGTCCATGGTGCCCCATGTATTTACTATATGTATGTGGTAGTGGCTGCTATCCTCCGCTGCCAAAACATGCAAATTTATCCATACTTCAGTGAGTGGCTCCTCAGGGGTCAGTCTTGCCAACAGGTACAGGCCCAAGTGTGCCTGACCCAAAAGATGCTTATGCAGTGGAGTCTGCTGCTTAATGCAAAGAAATAGATCCTCACGCAGAAAATTGAATTAGTAGGGGCCATCCTCAATGCCATGCAGGCCTGTGTGTTTCTACCAGAACAGCAATTAGGGACCATGTCCCTGTTGATACAGTCACTCATTCACTTTCTCACATCCCTGTCATGTCTAAAATTACTGGGTCACATGATGGCCTATATTTATGTTGTCCCATTTGCCAGGCTCTAAGAGTCCTATAGTCATGGCTGGCATTGGTGACGTCCCCTCAGCATGAGCTCCGGATATTTCAGTGGTGGTTAGATCTGCAGGCAGTGTGGGTTGGAGTCCATTTCTACTCTCCTGAACCCACTCTTGCTCTCATCACCGACATGTCCTGTTTGGCCTGGGAATGCATCTTGGCTACCTCACCATGCAGGCAATGTGGATGGTGGAGGAGTTTTTGCTCCACATCACCATCTGGGAACTCAGGATAGTCTCTCTTGCCAGCTAGATGTTTCACTCTCAACTCCAAGAACAGCATGTGGCAGTCACTGCGGACAATATGACCACCATGTAACATATCAACAAACAAGGTGGAGCTCTGTTGTTACCGCTCTGTCAGGAAGCCCTTCAGTTGTGGGAGCTGTGCATAGCCCACTCTATCCATCTGAAGGCATCTTTTCTACCCAAAGTACAGAATCAGCTGATGGACCACCTGAGTTGTTGTTGTTTTTACATCAGTTCCGCAGATGTAATCAACACCATCTTCCAGTGGTGGGCTTTTCCCCAAATGGACCTCCTAGTGTGGCCCAAGGCAATAGGAAATGCCCTCAGTATTGTTCCTTCTGAAATCTCAGCCTGGGGTTAGGGACAGGGTGGACATCATTCTCATAGCCTTAGGTTGGGCTCATTACCAGGCTCCTGGAACTTGACGGTTTAGCCCCTCCTTCCAGATCTCATTATGAAGGACCACGGTCACCTCCCTTACCTGGACCTTCCTTCCCTATACTTCATGTTCTGAAGGCTTCATGGCTGAACCTGGTGCAGCAGGTCCATCTCAGCAGCTGCAAGCCCTGTACCAGACTTATGTACATGGCAAAGTGGAAGCACTTCACAGGCTCATGCTTCCAAAGTTGTCTTGAGCTCACATCTGTCACAATGCCTGATATTCTAGGTACCTCACTTCTATAAAGCAGCAAGTTCTAGTGACTTCATCCCTCAAGGTCTACCTGGCTGCATATATCCTCATTCCATCCTCCAAAAGCAGGTTGCTGTATATTCACAAGCCCACGGTCGGTGTTTCCTCAGTGACCTAGAAAGACTTCACTGGGTCAAGCACTCTGTTCATACATAGGATCTTCACCTAGTCCTTTCAGTGCTCATGGGGCCATCCTTGGAGCCATGTGTTCATCCCTTTACCTGTCCTGGAAAGTGGCCTTTTTGGTGTCTATCATGTTGACCTGATGCATTTGAGCTTTGCACCCCAGTGTCTAAACCTCCTACATTGTCTTTCATAGGGATAAGGTTCAGCTTAGACCCTACCCAATATTCCTCTTGAAGGCAGTATCTAGCTTTTATGCCAACCAGGATATCTTACCACCACTTTTCTACCCAAAGCCCCACAAAAGCTTACAGGAACAACAGCTGCCCTCCCTTGATGTCAGAAAGGCACTTGTCTTTTACATTGACTGCACTAAGCCCTTAAGAAGCCAATGCATCTGTTCATGGCAATGGTAGAACACATGAAAACATTGCTTGTGTCATCAGCGCATGCTTCCTCTTGGATCATGGCCTGTGTCCAGATGTGTTACAACATAGCAAAGGTTCCTCCACCATCTCTCACAATACACTCAACTCAGGCACAAGCCTCCTAGGCTGCCTTTCTGGCTCATGTTCCTCTCCAGGTGATCTGCAGGGCAGCGACTTGGTCGTCTGTCCAAACCTTCACATCATAATATGCCATCATGCAGCAATACAGAAAGGATGCAGCATTTGATGTAGCAGTGCTCCAGACAGCAGCTTGACGACTCCAACCCCTCCTCCTGAGTAAGGCTTATGAGTCACTTACGGGGAACTGATGTGAGCAAGCACTTGAAGAAGTAAAAATGGTTACTCACATTTGTAACTGTTGTTCTTAGGGATGTGTAGCTCATATCTATTCCATACCCACCATCCTTCTCTTCTGTTGGAGGAGCCGGCAAGAAGGAACAGAGACGTGGTCAGCACCATAGTGGGGTCACTCTAAGGGGCTCCACAGCCAACCCAAAAGGTAGCCATTAGCAGGGCTCGGCGAACCGCAGCGAGCCCCGCTCACCAGCTGTGCTGTCCGGCGATCTGCGTATGCGCAGATTGCCCGAACCCGGCTCTTTCAGGTTGCAATCTACTTCAATCACTTCATTAATGTATTATTCTTTTCTAGTAGCTCATGAGGTAGAATGATCAAATCCAAAGCTCTCAATACCACACTCTTTAACTGAAGTAATGAAGTAGCTGCAGAATGAGAGAACATTGCATAACACAAATGGAGGAGCAGAAGAAAAACATGAAATAATCAGAATAGTAATATACATGCCATGTAGTAGTCTAACTTTTTCAAATCACCATTCTGAAAAAGAAAAAAGTCTCCAGTACAGTTTGTGTGTGTCTTGGATTTGAGTCAGTGGATGCCATGAAAATGCACAAACCATACTCACTTTGTAATATAGCAGTAGTGCTTTCCCAACATATTACAGCTTTCATTATGGGTAGGAATACAACAGAGTATAAATACTCTTCGGTATAAAACTTTCAGTTATATTAAACTCCATCATAATCACCTACTTTGTCTTCTATTGACACTGTATTTGGACTTGTGCACAAATTCATGGGTGTATGTAAAATTGTACATGTAATGCCCTGTGCCTTAGAAGATTTTTACCACTCTTTGTAAAGCACTGAATATATTTCATAATGCTCTGTAAATTACTAATGATTGCAACATTTTCCTTTCTATTTTATTTTTTAGTGCCAGTGCAAAGGTTGCTCCACTGAACATTAATAAAGTCTCCAATAGCTTGCTTAATTTTGGTCGGAAGCTGATTGCCCCAGCTATGGCTTCAGGAAGTCCTGCTGGCCCAGCTATTATTGCTAGCGGCGGCAGCAGTTTTCCGTCTGCTGTAGTGCCCATCAGGAGCACAGTGGAGCCCCTCCAGCACCAACACCTGCAGGCACAACAGCAACAGCAGAGAATGATGAAGTCGGAAAGCATGCCAGTTCAGCTGAGCAAAGGTAAAAGTGAGAACTAAGAAAAGACTCCAGATGTGACATGGAATTCCACAAATCCCAAAATGAACCTTAGTCAAAAATCAGAAATATTTATATTGATTTTTAGTTAATGTTTCTATAGATCTACATTTATATAACTGAAAGAGTCAACTTGTTGCTAAATTCAGATGTATTTTCATTGTCCTGTGGTATTTTTGCACTTTAATGTGATTGCATTTAGAAATTGTGGCTGTAGAGAACATACTAAAAGGATTCTTTATTAAAATGAACAGAAAATGTTTATGGAAGAAATGGGGGATAAAACAACCTAAGACAAAGCCTTAGCTGCCCTCTAGATATTATTTTCTTCTCTGTCTCATAAATAGCTAATATGACATTTTTGGCTGTATAAATTCCCTCGTAGTTGATTCCAGACATCAGGCACAACCCTCTTGTGTAACTGTACTAAGTTCTAATGAAGGAACATAATGTCACTGTAAAATGTTCTGTGTTTGGTCTAGATCCCTTTCCTTTCAGGATTCTGCTATCTGATTTTGATTATAGTTAATAGCATAAATATTTGCTTTTGACAACTGGCATTGCACATGAAGTCCATATTCCTTTTAAAAAACACTGACTTTTTCTAGAGACGTAAAATGTTTCTATTTCCTTAAATTTCTCAATTTATTATTTTCCAAGTATATTGTGGTAGATTACAAGCTTGAGTGCTGATGTTGGTTCTCCCGAGTCCCATAGTAAGTGCACAGTAGGAAGTTGCATTTTGGTCAGAGCTGAAAAGATATGGGGAGGAAAATAATATAAAAACAATACTTTGTACATATATGGCCCAAATTTCCTCCTCCTCTTCCCCCATCATATCAAGAGTATGACCTCTTATCAAGCATCATGTGGCCAGTAGGCGTTGGTAGAGCAAACCGCAAAAGCCCTGATTTTCCTGCACATGTGTACAGTAATTTGAAGCATTTTTCCAGGTGCCAGCATAGGTATCTGGCTGAAGTCCAGCTAAGCAGTTCCTCTGCAACTCCAATTCATACTCAGGGCATTACAGATACTACCCAAGGAAGGCTCCAATATGTAAAAGTGAAGGAAGGCCTTTGAATACTGGTAGTTGTATATGGGCTGAAGGAAAAACTGAAAACCAATTAATTCTTTCATGTGTCTCAGTTGAAGCAGGGCCCAGCCTGACTCACAGGTAGAAATGTCAGAAATCTCAATGATGCTCTTATTGAATCCTTGATAAAAACTCCTATTCCCTTCAGTGGAAGCAGAGAGGCACCTAGCGGGAAACTATCCCAATGATTTTTATCTTTTTAAAAATAATATTCCCCTTTCAGCAATTTCACGGCCTTGTTTTCTTTGCCCCCATTTTTGTGAGGAAGGGTGGTGGTAAAGTGAGGTCCTTGTAAATTTTGGAGGTTGTCTGCAGTAGATAAAAGGATTGAATGAGCTTAGACAGCTTGAAAACACTGGGTATGTGTAAACTAGGAAAAAAGGTGAGTTTCTAATCATAACAGTTAACACATTCTGAAATCCTAGTGTAGACAACACAAATTGTAGTTCTAGCTAGATTCCATTTAACCCTGGGGTTGCTCTGATTACACTAGAATTTTACAACATGCTGCCTCTTACATGTTAGCCATCAGGTTGTAAAAACACCATCTAAATACAGTAATGTCAGATCAGATTTCAGGGAGGAATGTCAGTCAAAGCAGAGATCTGTAGTCATGCTACTAATATTACAAAAGTTACCCAACAATGATTATTACAACTTCCTGCACAAGCAGCAGCACAGGGATTTATATACTGTACTGTTCCTGAAAAATAATATTAGTTATGTAAGTTAGAGATCCAGAACCAGTGTGGGCGGCATAGTTGGAAAAATCCTACAATTATGCTTCAGTAATGGACAGCATCCATGCATTGTCTTGAAAACTATTCCAGTTCAGTATAATGAAGGGTAATAAGCATCGTTGTCTATTTATTATTAGTATTTTCTTTAGTGCAGTATTGTCACTGATGTACACTGATTTGAGATTCCTCTTTATTAGTATAGCATCATTAGATATCATTTAAAGACTAAAAGTCCTTGAAATCATTAACAGTGTAATTTTTTGTAAATGTAGTGAGTGGCAACGATTGCTATTTACTGTATCAGTCGACTACTGTTAATTTTTCTATGTAGATATTCCCATTTGATAAGCTACAGTTGATTGATATTTTTAAATTATAGCAAGCAGTTGAGTCTGAAAGTCCTGCGATTAGGAGGGGGTTGAAAAGTCACACCCATATAGTTATAGAAATGTAAAGTAATGTTACTGAAGGGGTATGAAGTGCTACCACCACAGACACAGAGAAGATAAATTCATGTGTTTGGAGTAGCTGATGAGCCCTACTAAATCCCTGGTTCTGAAAAACGTGTCATGGACCATGAAATCTGGTCTCCTAGAGTAAAAGTACACAAAACACCAGATTTCATGGAGGAGACCAGCATTTCATAGACTTGGGAGGTCCTGACCCATAAGGGTTTGTGGTATTGCTATCCTTACTTCTGACCTGCCTTCAGAGCTGGATGGACACAAGAAATGGCTGCTGGACAGATGGCAATACCATACCATGCCGTCCTTACTTTTCCGCTGCTGCTGGCAGTGGTGCTGACTTCAGAGCTGGGCTCCTGGCTAGATCACTCTCCTGCCACCAAATCAGAAGGCATCAGTGTCACTGATGGCAGTGCAGAAATAAGGGTGACTATACTGCTATCCCTCTACAATAAGTTTGACACTTCCCACCCTCCCACAATCCCCTTTTGGGCCAAGGACACTTACAGCCACAACACCATGAAACTTCAGATTTAAATGTCTAAAATCATAAAATTTATTATTTTTAAAATCCTACAACTATGAAATTGATCAAAATGGGCCATGAATTTCATAGGTCCCTACTTATCTGCCTTGAGGTACTGATGTCTCCAGCCATGTCACTTTTTTTTTTTTAAATAACTGAAATGATCATTTTGCATCATGAAAGAAAGAGGTGGTAGGGAAGGGTTTGCCTTGGGTACCGTCCACCTTTTCACCTCAGACATTCTCCTCTCATGAAAACAAAGCAAAGACTTTGAGGTATTGCTAATACTTACAAAAAAGTAATGATTTGAAACCAGACTTATTTTTTAAAATAGCTTATTTACAGTTTATTGTGGTTTAAACTCAGGATACCATGGGGATTTTATAGGGGATTACTAGAGGTCAGAGAAATGTGCATAGATGGGGTCTGTTAGCTGAGGTGTGTATGTGCCGTCTTCTCTTTGCTTTAACCATTTTCCTTTATCCTTCCTTGCTCGCACCACTGTATTTCTCTTCAGTTTCCTTCCCACACACATTTTTTCTCTGTTGCATCTGCTCTCAGGCTGTCATTCAACAAACACCTGTGCACATGTTTAAGTACCTGAATACTTAAGTACAGTACATGAGTGCTGAAGTCAGGGGAATTATTCAAGTGTATAAAGTTAAGCCATGTATAAGCATTTGTAGGGTTGGAAATTTAGTCTTTATTTCTACCCACACACATACACCTTGCTTCCTTTTATTCCCTAATGGTCTCCGTACACTTCCACTAATATGATCCAATTGAGGTAACTAGAAACATGGATTTTCAGCCCAAAGTCCAATAGACACCTGCACTTGAAATAGTGCCCACAGTCCCATGTTGTTTAGGGTTCTGACTCTATGGCCTTTTCTAAAGTCAGTGCTACGTTGATTGATCTTCCAGGGGGCGAGTTAGCAGGTCTAATAAAGACTAGGGATGCTAGCAAACATTTATTTTTGTAAACATGTAAGGTGCCAGTCGTCCTGTCCCTCCCTCCCCTGTACTGCTGCCTCAGATACAGAGGCAGCAGCAGGGAGGGAAAGGAAGGAACAGGCATCTCCATTGGAGCTGGTACATGCAGGGAGCTGGCTTGAAAGCTGGCTTCCTCATGTGCCATCTGCCTGCCCGCTCCCCACACCCTCCACGCTTGTTCAATCCTTTTATCCAGGGGCTCCCAAACTTTTTGACACGGGGACCAGTAAATCCATTCGCGAGCTTTTGGAGGACCGGTAACATTCATTTGCATATTTGCATATTCATTAAGCAAATGATGAATATTCAAATATAAGTTGTTTCTGGTCCTCCCAAAGCCCCCAGTGCCAGCATTAGCAAAGCTTTTGATGCAGTCACCCACAATATTCTTGCCAGCAAGTTAAGGGAATATGGATTGGATAAATGGACTGTAAGATGGATAGAAAGCTGGCTAGATCAGGGTTTCCCAAACTTTTAACTTCAGTTGGAAGCCATTTTTTTAGTACTGTTTTTTGCAGCCCAAAAATATAAACGCATATTAAAAAAAAAAGAATGAAAAATGAATAAATTTTCAGTGTTTCACCCAGCTGCATCCTCCACCCAGCCTGGGCCAGGGCTTGGGGGACCTGGTGCCGCATGAGCACTCCAGGGGGAGAGTGTGTGGGCAGGGGCGGGACCAAAATGGAATCCCCGGCCATGCTGACTCGTCTGCCAGGGTCCACAGGGTCTGCATGTACCCGGGTCAGTCCCCCCCCCTTCTCCTCCTGATCTCCCCAGTCCAGCCCTGCTTCTGGTGGCCGGTTCCCCCCGCTCCCCCCTGGGGGTAGGGTATCTGGCTAGGAGGGAGGGTGCAAGGAAGGGTAGGGTTGCCAGGTCTCCGGTTTTGTACAGGACAGTCCAGTATTTGAAGGTTTTGTCCGGGAAAGAAATTGAGAAATTACCAGACATATAAAATGCCTGGTATTTTCTAATTAGGTAAGTTTTATTATAATTAGGTGTATCAGTTCTTAGCTGCGAACTGCCTGGCTGGTAGTTTCACCTCAGACATTCTCCTCTCATGAAAACAAAGCAAAGACTTTGAGGTATTGCTAATACTTACAAAAAAGTAATGATTTGAAACCAGACTTATTTTTTAAAATAGCTTATTTACAGTTTATTGTGGTTTAAAC